GGTTAAAGGTGCATTATAGTGACTGATTCTCATTGACTAACATATATGCAAGCCTCTCACACAAGAATCATGACCTAGAACTCTCTCAAACGGCCAAACAAATTCCCAAAATTCCAAGGAAAAGTGTGAAACTGAAAACCACTTTGCAGCATAATTCAAACCTCCCTTTTGATCCAAACACATTCCTTACATCCCCAGGAATCGTTTGCAGCCAAGAACAAGCCAAAAACCTCAAGAACTCGTGCTACACAAGTCATACGGTTTACCCTCTTTCTCAAAATCACAATCATCCATTCATACGTTTTTAACACTTTTTATTGATTGCATTGTGCTCACAGGATCCATACAAAGCTTTCCATATGATTTAATTTGATTATGGTGCCTTAAAACGCAAAATACCATTGTTGAGTTCTAGGTTTTCAAAGCTTATGATTTGGGGTTTTTCTTATACTGCAAAATTAAACCTCAAGACATACATGGTTGAGACCGGCTAGAGGAGAAGAACACGAAACATACCTCGCGCCCTTTTTATACTGCTTGTGTGCTTAATCGCTATTTTTGATGTTTCCAGTTTGTGGGGGTTTAAAACCCCCGCTATCAGCTTTATGTTTTTACAGGAAATGAAGAAGATGAAGGACGTGCCTCCATGTGGTTGGCCAGTTCAAATAAACGCGCGGATTTTTGTTAGTTTCCAGAATAACGCTTGTTTTCATATTTAATTTTCTTTGTGTGTTATGTTAACAAAAACGCTCAATTGGTCAGTGGCTGGAGACGTGGCTTGTAATCTCTGGGACCTGGGTTCGATTCCCAGGCCCCCCCATAATTCATTGTTATTTTTTCAAATGCATTCTTGTGCAGATTCCCAAATGATGAGCACCATAAGCCTCACATCTCAGCCTGCCAAATGTCCATCAGTGCAAATCCAAGGGCCAAGCATGAGGACCATGGTGCTCTGGAGTCAACATGGGCGTAGGCAACCAGAAAGAGTCAACGTGGCTGAAGATTCAAATGGGCCTCAAATCCCAATCACACCCTCCAATCTGGCCCAAAACCCCCCTTGGGTTTGCTTTTCCTTTTTATTATTTTGTCATTTGCTTTATTTTATTTTTCTTTCTTATTCTTTTTTAATTAACCATTAACATAATTAACTATTTTCATAAAAAAAATCCAAAAAGAACTAACATTATTATTATTATTAATTTCATTTTATTTTTGTAATTAAATACTAATAAATTGAATTAATTATTAATTAGGCAACTTTAACTTTTTTTTCTTAATAATTAAAATAAGTTTAGAATTAGGTTTTTAATTGAATTTTAATTTTATTTCCTTTTATTTTATTTCATTAAAAAATATAAAAACAAAAAATATTTTCTTTTAATAAATTAATTAATTAGTTTAACAATTAGTTTTAATCTCATTTAATCACAAAAAAGACAAAAATTCATTTCTTTTCTTAAAAGGGTCAAAACCCTTAAGGCATTCCCGATTAACTTTTATTCGTGCGCATTTATTTTATTTTGATTATTATGTAATTGCTTCCAAGAATGTAATAGTAATTAGGTTTACCGTTTTATTTAATTTCTCGTACTTATTTACCAAAACGGGTCTTTGTATTTTTGGCGATGTATAGACCCGCGCCTTGTAATAGCGTAGAATTTATCTTTCCGCAATTTACTTTCCGCACCCCTAACTGTTAAATGCATGAAAGAATGTATGTAAATAAAACCAATTCGTAGCTCACAAAATAACATATACAAGATAAACATTAACTGAAAAACAACACACAAAGCACATGCCACTCCTAGGGTACGCTTCACTCGTTGCCTCGAAACGTGGTCATCAAGTATAGGGTGTCTTAGAGGTCGCCCTTCTGTCCAAAAGATCCAAGTTGCCTCGAAATGGTTGCCTCGGATAAAAGGATCTAGGACATTAGGGTTACTTCTAAGGTGTCCTACCATTGCTTCGGTGACCACACTGTCCCGATAATTGAATTGACCCGAACACCTCCAACGATGGTGCTACCTACCTCTCAATGGTGGGATAGCACTATCTAAAAGACTCTTACACAACTTAATTCCTTAGAGTAGGTAGATTCTCATAGGTACTTGCTCTTTTCAAAAACAAACAAAAATACTTTTCACACCTCACACTTTCTAAAAGATTTCAAACAAATTTTTCACACACTCTTGAGGACTGATACAAGAGTTACTTAGAAATTTTTCAAACGAAACTTTTTCAAAACCCACACACACTTGAAAAGCAAACACTTTTGAAAACATAAGAGCAAGTACCTAAGAGCCCGTGGATAACCACAGATAGAAAGGGTGCTAACACCTTCCCTTTCTATAAATCTACCTCCCGAACCGAGAAACATTCTCGAATAAGGAATTTTGCTGTGCTTTTGTCCTTTCCATGTTGGAGAATATAAAAGACGGTGGCGACTCTTGCTTACCGCGACATTTCGCGAACCAGCTTAAAAAACAGTCAGTTCTATTTCCACCGATCACAATATGCCTTAATAGAACCATCATTCCAACACTATCGCGAAGAAATCCGGTTGACAAACTCAGAAGCATTAAGGTGGATCAATAACATTCTAGTGGAGAAGTGGACTCGAGCATTTGATAATGGTCAACGATGGGGCCACATGACAAAAGATTTGGTGGAATCATTGAACTCTATCTTCAAAGGAATCTGATACCTACGAATTACTTCTTTGGTTAGAACAACATATTTTAGGTTGGGGTCATTGTTCGACACAAGAAGTTCAAAATGGAGGAAAGTGTTACAATCAAGGCAGTTGTTCAGTGAATTCACAATGAAATCATTTAACGAGGAGGCTTCCAAAGCAAACACCCACATTGTCATTGTGTTTGACCGTATTAAAGGTTGGTTCAGTGTACAAGAGACAATGGATCATAATGAGGGGAGGCCAATGGGATATTATCGGGTCAAACTAGATAGAAGTTGGTGTGATTGCGGAAAGTTTCAAGCATTTTGCATGCCTTACTATCATGTCATAGCGGCATGTTCGCATGTTCGCTTGGACCCAATACGACATATATCCCCCGTTTACACAGTAAAGAGCGCTTTAAGTGTGTACATCAGTGCCTTCTCTGTGTTGGCAAAGGATGATTATTGGCCTGCTTATCAAGGGGACATTGTTTGGCACAATGAACAAATGTGATGGAAGAAAAAGGGGTATCCCAATAGCAATCGTATTAGAACTGAAATGGATATGGCCAACAAAATGATAAGATTATGCATTACATGTCGTCTTCCCGAACACAATCGAAAAAATTGTCTGAATATTGGGTCTAACTCTACAACCTGATTTTTTTATAGCAAACTTTCTGAAGTAATTAATTTGTTATAAGCAAGAAATTTCAATTTAAATTCGGGTTTTCATTTCGTGTTTAATTTATCATCCGATTACAACAACCTTCAGATAATGACCCAAAAAATTACAACACGACACACTCAGGACCACAACACAACAACATGATACACAGACAAAACAACTAAACACATCATAATATCTAAGAGATAAAAACCATCAACACAATATTGTCTGGTCCAAGCATCATCATCATGACATCAACGTCGCATCTCACCTTTTTCCATGATTGGCTTGCTCCATTTTCGTTCCTCACTGTAGTTTATCTTTCAATTTTTCTAATCTATTCACCTTCAGGAATGTCTCCTTCCAACCAGCGAATCGAGTGTCTCTGAAAATGCTCGAATGTCTGCGTGTTCTAGAGTTTGAACTTCATTGGAGGCTTTGTCGATGAAAAAATAACATACACATCTCTTTTGATCAGTGAAAACCTTGGCAAGGGAGTGGAAGACATTTTCTAAGAGTGATGTGAGAAATAGTGTGAAAAATGAAGAAGATGAGTGGTTCCATTTATAGAAAATAATATACATCTGTCAAGAAACACAAGGTGGCGCCTCCTCTATAACTATGCATGCATGCGCCACACTACATGACATTACATACGAGGACGAGCCATGCAGTGTGGTGCCTCCTCTATATTTTCCATGCATGCGTCATACAGAGTGGCGCCTCCTCTATGTGGCGAATTTTTTTTGTTTGAAAAGTGGTTACTTTGGTAAATTTTTTGAAAATATGGTAATTTGTTTTTTTTTTGAAAAAAGTTATTATCTAAAAAAAATTCAAATACACTGGTTATTCAATGAACCTAAAAAATGACTTGTCTCTTATAAAAAGGAACGGAGATAGTATTAGTTAGGCATAATCTTTAAAAATAATCAGAAACACTTGCGTGAGGTAACCCCTGACAAATATTAAAATGTGACATTGTGCTGGGAGGTGTTTAATCCCTAACAAATACGGACACCCTACGCCAACTATTCTCGCCTACGCGTGCGTGACTGTCACATGAAAAGAGGGTTAAGTTTTGCATGAGATTAAGCCCCTAGCAAATTTGCGACGTGGAAGGCCCCTCAAAATAATTTGTGATAACCAGTATTGCGAGATGTGCTTGCCCCTCGCAAAAATTAGTTTTTTGAGGGACTTATTGTGATGCCGCACCATTTTGGCTTCTCACTCTGGTTCCCCAGCTCGTGGGCACTGACCAAACATTGTTTCCACTTAGGAATCAAACCTGATATTCTTTGAATTGCGTCCTTAGCAGGAGCTCTTTTATCATTAGAGCCCAATTGTTTGGTTTATTCTCAGGAATACTATTTGCACATAATTATTCTCATACTTATTCTCATGCTTAAAGGGTGAGAATCCAACATTTTCATGAGAATAAACTCAACTACCTATAATTTCTCACTATTACTCACATATTGTTTTTATTTTTATTTTTTATAATTTTTAAATTAAATATATATGTAATCATTCTCAGAAATTTTAATTTAAGAAAATATTATTCTTAAAAAATAATAATTCAAGGAATATAATTCAAATGAATTTTATTATAACTTAGAAACAAAGAAACCCATAATATATAAAAGAGAAACATTAGTTAAAAGAGATACAAAAGGAATAAAAAGCACAAGCAGTGAGCAAGAACAACAAATCTAGTAAAAATCCATGACGAGAAAACAAAAGAGACAACAAAAACATCATGAGAAGAGAAACAACCCAACCAACCATCTAAAGTCTTGGGCGCAGCAGACATCAGGAGTACGCTAGAGGGAGGTATCCATGACCACCCATCTCCATATGCAATTAATTTATGAGGAAAACATTTTTCTCGGATTAATGTTTCATACAACATTGTGAACTTATTTGCTTAACCAAAACATATCAAAGACGACGAACAATAGGAATTAAGCATAGGTCATGTTTTATTCTTGCTGAAATCCCAAATGACTCAGTCATATCTAGTTCTTCATTCTTCATATTATTTGGAAGCTTCCAATTAAAGTTGTAAAGTAACTGAGCAATAGTTAGCTCAATACTCGGTAAGGCAAATGCAATGCCTGGACAAATCCTCCTTCCAGCACCAAATGGTATGAATTCAAAGTCTGTGCCTTTGAAATCAATTGGGCTATTAAGAAACCTCTCAGGTTTAAAACTCTCAGCTTCAACCCAATACCTTGGATCTCTACCTATAGCCCAAGCATTGACCATGAACCTTGTCTTAGCTGGGATCTCATACCCATTGATTTGGCATCTCTCCTTACTTTCTCTTGGAACTAACATTGGTACAATGGGATGTAGCCTGAGTGTTTCTTTGATGACAGAGTTTAAGTATATCAGTTTATGTATCTCTGTCTCATCTACATACCCTTTTTTATCAAACACTCTTCTTACTTCAGCTTGTGCTTCTTCCATTACCTTTGGATTCTTTACCATCTCAGACATACACCATGACTTAATTCCTGAGGTTGTTTCAGTACCAGCACCAAATATGTCCTGCAAATGGATTAATAGTAACATACCAAAATTTATCAATTAGTCTTAAAATGTGTAATGAACTTGTTAAAACGGTTAATAGTAAACTAACCAGAATGATTGATTTCACGTTTACGTCAGTCACGCGATGTTGTGAGTTTTCATTTTCTTGTTGAATCTTGAGAAGAGCATCTACTAGATCTTCATCCTTGCTTACTTCCCTATGAATATTTTTGTGATCGTCGACAATATCTTGCATTATCATATCAATCTCTCTATGAAGTTTTTCAAATTTCTTCTTCGCGGTACTCGTCCTTTGAAACATTTTAATAGATGGATACAAATCTGCAATACAAAATCCTCCCATCAAACTTACTATTTCATCAATTGCTGATTTGAATGCTTGTGCGTGTTTATTCTTTTTTCCAAAAGCTGCCCTCGCCACTATCCCATGCGTCACATCGGAAATCTTCTGAGTAAGATTAACAACAGATCCTTCACTTGCAGCTATTGATTTAACAAGATCTGACACCTCTTCTTCTCTTATGCACTTAAATGATTGGACACGCTTTGCACTGAATAGCTCTATGGCACATATTTTTCTCAGTTGCCTCCAGTGTTCTCCATGTATAGAGAATATCATATCAGTAGCATTGTAACTAAATATTGTGGACAACATAAGGTTTGGCCTATCACAACATGTGAGGTCATGTGTTTTCATAATCTCTTTGGCCATTTCTGGTGAACTAACTATTATGTATGGTACCTCTCCTAGTTTTAGGTGCATCAAAGGACCATATTTTTCAGCCAAAATTTTGAAAGAATGATGAGGCAATGGGCTGCTAATAATCTGATGTATGTTCCCTATGAAGGGCAGTGTCCATGGTCCTGGTGGTAAATTGGAGTTAGAGTTTTTAGAAGTACTCCATCTTGTAACTATTTTGAATAGTATCAAGAGGAAGAGAAATGAAACCATTAAGGTAAAGTTAGAAAAGTTGCTGTGAAGCTCCATGTCTGTAGACTGTAGAGGAATGGGAGAATAATGCCTAGAAGAAGGTATATATATGCTATATTAACATAGAGAATAGAGATACCCATTTTAAAGCAGAATGCAATAAATAAATATTGATAAGAATATGTTTATCTTTTGCACTAACCACAAGAACAATATTTACGCTCAGTAAATAATGAAATTTTGAACTTTAATCAGTTGTATACTTAGGCTGGATACTAAGGAAATCAAGTTGATGATATTTAGGCTAGATAAATGTACGGTTCATAATGGGTTTATTTAGACTTATACGGTTCATAAATAGACTTATATTAAAAAAACAGGAATGCCATTTCTACACCACAATCTTGCACCAATTTTTACACTAAAACATTATACATTTTATTTATATGGTGAATTGTATTTTTTTTAAATAAAAAAAATATTTATAAACAATACCATGAACAGTCACTTGAACAATATGTGCACAGTGATCGTGAATTGTGTTTATAAATAGTATATGAACAATGATTTTGATTAACGAAATGTAAAAAATTTAGTTAATAAAATGATGAAGTTAGTTAATAAACGCCTAAATATTAAAAAGAATTTAGTACTAAAACAAAGTTGATTAATAAAATGTAAAAAAATTGAATAATGAAGTGATGAAGTTAGTTAATAAATACTCCGATATTAAAAATAATTTTTAATAGTAAAATAAAATTGGTTAATACAATATAAAATATTAATTAATAAAATTTTAAAATTGGTTAATAAACGTTGAGATTTTTAATTATTATGAAATTGATTAATATAATTTAAAATATTGGTTAATAAAATTATAAAATTGATTAATCACATAATTTTATATCTATACTTCCTTAATTTAAAAAATATTTAAAATAAAATAAATTTTTTATTATTTTTTTTAAAAAAATTTATTATTATAATATTTTACTATTCATCATATTAGTGAACAGTAAAATACGATATAAATGTAAGATATTGGTGTAAGAATAATATTTTTTTAAAAAAAAATGATGAATGATATTATTACACCAAACAATAACAACTACACCATATATTCATAGGTTTGGTTTTTGTATTATATTTAACAATTATTTTTTCACTTTTTCCAATACAAAAAAAAAAATATTTTTGCTGTATTTAACTTGGTATAAGTTACGGTGTAAAAAATTTGGTGTAAACATAACATTGCTCTAAAAAAATTACTTTACATAGATGCAAACTTATGTGTCATTATTAACAAAGGAATTACACATACCTGCCGAAAGGTACTAACTTTGGCCACTTTTTAAAATGCCTTGTTTACGGACGGAGTGTGGGGTTGTGAAGGTTCAAAGAATCTTGGATCAGACGACTATAACTTTCTATTTATTCGAAACTGTTGCCACTTTTTGAAGGAAGTTTTCAATCGGTTTTTTAATGATTTTCATGACAACGTTGTGTTGGCAAAATCGGTAACATCTTCATTTTTGGCTCTGATTCCAAAGAATAGCAACTCATTGTCTCTTGACGAGTATCACCCGATATGTCTTGTAGGAAGCTTGTACAAAGCTCTTGCCAAACTCTTAGCTCTCAGGCTAAATAAAATGCTTCACTTTATAGTGTCTCATTGCCAAACTGTTTTCGTGCCCGGGAGAAATTTTTTAGATGGAGTTCTTGTAGCTAACGAAGTGGTGGATTATGCTAACAAGGAAAAAAAAGAGTTTCTTGTTTTTTAAAGGCGATTTTGAAAAAGCATATGACAAAGTCAGTTGGACGTTATTGAAGCATTTGATGTGGAAAATGAGGTTTGGAGATAGGTGGATGAGATTGATAGAGGCGGCGGTTTTCAACAGTCATATGTCAGTGATGGTTAACGGGAGTCCAACGAAAAAATTTATAGTAGAGAGGGGTCTAAGGATGGGCGATCCTCTAACACCATTCTTGTTTGTCTTGGTGGCTGAAGGATTGGTGGGCTTAGTTAGAAGGGCAACGGAGATTGGAGATTTTTCTGGCATTAATATAAAGGGAAAATATAAGGTGGACATTCTCCAATTTACGGACGACACGTTGTTGATTGGAGAAAAACTGGAAGCACGTTAGGTCTCTGAAATTTGTGCTTAGAGGTTTCGAGTTAGCCTCGGGCCTGGGGGTTAACTATCACAAGAGTAAACTTATCGGAATCAACACTAATGATAATTTTTTGTCTGATGCAGTCATGTTTCTCTCTTGCATGATTGAGAAATCGGAATTTTCTTATCTTGGGATCCCTGTTGGTTCAAACCCGAAGCGTCTTTATTTTTGGAATTATTTGATCATCAAGTTGAAGGCTCGCCTGTCTAGTTTTAAAGGGAGGTTCCTTAGCCTCGACAGTAGGATAACTCTGTTGAAGTCGTTTTAAGTAGTCTACACATCTTTTAAATGTCTTTCTACAGAGCTCCAGTTAAGGTTTGTAAAGAAATTAGTATAATTCAAAGAAATTTCTTATGGGGAGGAGTGGAAGAAAAGAAGAAAATTCACTGGGTTAAATGGGAAAATGTTAGCCTTCTATCGATAATGTGGTTTAGGGTTGAAGCGAGTCGAGGATTTTAACCTAGCATTGATGTTAAAATGGAATTGGAGAATTATATCGGGCAAAGATTCTTTGTGGCTGAATCTGCTTAAGGCAAGATATGGGAATCTGAGTCTTCTAGTCTTGTCTGGGAATTGCGATCCAGGTAACCATTTATCCTCTTTGTGGTGGAAAGATATACTTGGATTGGAGAAGAGGCATGCAGAGGGAGAATTCGGAGCGAATTGCAGATTTAATTTAGGGAAGGGAAACACAATTCTTTTCTGGCAGGAAATCTGATGCAGTAATTGTAGTTTTAAAAATTCTTTTCCTGACCTATATTTACTGTCGAATTCGAAACAGGAATTTGTAGAGGATATGGACATGTGGATCGATAACATTTGGGTCTGGGGTGATTTGGGCTTGCACTTATGTTGCGGCGGTATAGCGGCAAGCAAAAAGTAAGTTATTAACTGGGTGATATAGGTTATATCGTGTCGTGTCCACATAGATTGGTTATTGAATTGTCGTTCGACAAATCATTCGTTAATGAGTTTGGGGTTAAATGGTTGAAAAGAAAAAGTATTAATAGAAAATAAATGTATAAAAAGGAAAAGGAATAACTTGTCAATCATGCATATATACTACTTCTCATAGACTTAAACCTATCGACCTGTTATACTAAACCTACAATATTAATTAATGTCATCATGTGTTAGTCACAACCTAAGTCATTTCTAACCCAAATTGAGAGACCGAGTGTATCACCTCGATAGCAATCTCTCAACCACCTCAACAACACAAAAGTCAACCATGCTCGCCTGCATTGAAGATCTCTCAGAGCGACACAAACAACACAGAGGCATTAATCACAGACACCCTAAGTGAATAACAGCGTTAAATCTGTCTTTAGTATTTAGACACTATTAGATAATCATACTAGATAAGAATTTAAGCAGTATATGTCTATAACAACTCAAATCCCTAGCACAGAGCAAAAATCTAGGATAATAATCGATAAAGATTTATAAAGCAAGTTTTATATAACGCCAAGGGCGATAAATATACATGATATCAAAGTAAATACATATACAAACCAAACCAATAGAGAATACATAAAGAAAAGAGAAATGAACCACAAATCTACCAGTTTGTCAGTGCCGATCAAAGAGCAATCCACCTCTGATCATCCATATGCAAGCTCCATAGTTGTTATCTATGCTAACCTAACATAATTAAAGGTTGATGGAGTTGGGAGCAAAAACTTCCCCAAAACCATAACCTAAAAAGTGAATGAAATGAAGTTATAAAACAAATCTCAGCAGACCGTGCTAAGCGGGCCTGGCGCGCTAAGCGCAACTTCCTTATTTTACACATCAAACTGACCTAAACTACGCTAAGCGCGCTATCCGTGCTAAGCGGGCTTCAAAAAATTGGTTCTGACAAAACAGTAAAAATGCAAGCAGTGCGCTATAAAATGCGCTGAGCGCACTTGCGCTTAGCGACTTCTGTGCGCTAAGCGGGCTCTCCTGGACAAAACTAATATTTTATTCCAAAAACGTGCATCCAGAGCCGTGCCTTCGACACTTTATTCCTTAATGCTCCAAAATACAACGAATACCTATAAAATGAATGGAAAAACATCAAACGATACACTATATACACAAAAACACAATAAACATAAACTAAATGTATTTACATTAAAGTCGGGTTTATTCAACGATATTAACAACAAAAAGTCGATAAGTGCAACAAAAAGTATATATAAAATAGCTACAATTTGCACTATCAACTTAACGAAAGGCTCGGGGGACTGACTCAGATTGTTGACGTTGAAGGACTGTTTGGATCAGTTTTCACTGATTAGAGAGAAGATGGATTTGATCAGCAGGGAACCAAAAGGAACATAAGGTTTTCTGTCAAAAGTTGTTATGGATTGATTTCTGACCAGAACCTTACGTCTGTTTACGGTGCTGATAGAGAAAGGACGACAGTTTTAATGTGGAAAACTTCGATTCCCTTTAGGATTAAAGCATTTGGGTGGAGATGTTTGATAAACTGGATGCCAACGAAGAATCTCCTTTTTATCAGATGTTTGTTTTCCTCTCAGACAAAATTATTATGCGATTTTTGCACGGACATGGAGGAAAATTTGAATCATATTATGCTCTAGTTGTTTGGAAATCGATTTCGGTTTGGTTAGGAATGGAGTTAGGGAAAGAGGAAAATATTTGGAGGAGTTTTCTTAATGCCTTTGATAGTTTTAATTCCAAGAAAGTAAAAAAGGGGTTTGAAGGTGTTATTTAGCTTGCCGTTTGTATGAGCATTTGGTTGAAAAGAAATGTGTTGGTGTTCAAGGATGATCATTGGTGTATATCGGATCTTGTTTGGAATATCAAGGTTTTAGCGTGGAAATGGTCTTTCCATGGTTAAATTACTTATGCCAATTGTAACTTTTATGAATTTTGTAAATATCTTTTGCATTATTTAGGCTATGTTTCATTTGGTAGATAATTTTCCTTTTGTCGAGTCTTTTTCTCGAGTTTTTGTAATCGAGATTGAGTACCTCTAATATTCCCTTAATATAATCCTTGCTTACAAAATAAATTGATTATGTCTGTCTAGATTTTCAATATTAACTAGTACAATTTTGTTTTTTACACAATAAATAGATAGGGCCATTATATAGAACGGGTTTCCAATTATTATTATTATTATTATTATTATTATTATTATTATTATTATTATTATTATTATTATTATTATTATTATTATTATTAGTATTATTAATATTAGTATTATTATTATTAGTATTATTATTATTATTAGTATTATTATTATTGTTATTATTATTATTATTATTATTATTATTATTGTTATTGTTATTATTATTACTATTATTATTATAATAATTATTATAATTATAATAATAATAATAATTATTATTATTATTATGATTATTATTATTATTATTATTATGATTATTATTATTATTATTATTATTATTATTATTATTATTATTAATGCAAGCAATGCGCTATAAAATGCGCCGAGCGCACTTGCGCTTAACGGCTTCTGAGTGCTAAGCGGGCTCTCCTGGACAAAACTAATCTTTTATTCCGAAAACGTGCATCCAGAGCCGTGCCTTCGACACTTTATTCCTTAATGCTTCAAAATGCAACAAATACCTACAAAATGAATGAAAAAACATCAAACGATACACTATTTACACAAAAACACAATAAACACAAACTAAACGTATTTACATTAAAGTCGGGTTTATTCAACGATATTAACAACAAAAAATCGATAAGTGCAATAAAAAGTATATATAAAATAACTACAATTTGCACTATCAACTTAACGAAAGGCTCGAGGGACTGAATCAGATTGATGACGTTGAATGACTGTTTGGATTAGTTTTCACCGATTAGGGAGAAGATGGATTTGATCATCAGGGAACCAAATAGAACATAAGGTTTTCTGTCAAAAGTTGTTATGGATTGATTTCTGACCAGAACCTTACGTCTGTTTACAGTGCTGATCGAGAAAGGACGACAGTTTTAATGTGGAAAACTTCGATTCCCTTTAGGATTAAAGCATTTGGGTAGAGATGTTTGATAAACTGGATGCCAACGAAGAATCTCCTTTTTATCAAATGTTTGTTTTCCTCTCAGACAGAATTGTTATGCGATTTTTGCAAGGACATGAAGGAGAATTTGAATCATATTATGCTCTAGTTGTTTGGAAATCGATTTCGGTTTGGTTAGGAATGGAGTTAGGGAAAGAGGAAAATGTTTGGAGGAGTTTTCTTAATGTCGTTGATAGTTTTAATTCCAAGAAAGTAAAAAAGGGGTTTGAAGGTATTATTTAGCTTGCCGTTTGTATGAGCATTTGGTTGAAAAGAAATGTATTGGTGTTCAAGGATGATCATTGGTGTATCTCGGATCTTGTTTGGAATATCAAGGTTTTAGCGTGGAAATGGTCTTCCCATGGTTAAATTACTTATGCCAATTGTAACTTTTATGAATTTTGTAAAAATCTTTTGCATTATTTAGGCTATGTTTCATTTGGTAGATAATTTTCCTTTTGTCGAGTCTTTTTCTCGAGTTTTTGTAATCGAGATTGAGTACCTCTAATATTCACTTAATATAATCCTTGCTTACAAAATAAATTGATTATGTCTATCTAGATTTTCAATTATTAACTAGTACAATTTTGTTTTTTACACAATAGATAGATAGGGCCATTATATAGAACGGGTTTCCAATTATTATTATTATTATTATTATTATTATTATTATTATTATTATTATTATTATGATTATTATTATGATTATTATTATTATTGTTATTATTATAATAATAATAATAATTATTATTGTTATTATTATTATTAATATTATTATTAATATTATTATTATGATTATGATTATCATTATGATTATTATTATTATGATGATTATTATTATGATTATTATTATTATTATTATTATTATTATGATTATTATTATGATTATTATTATTATTATGATTATTATTATTATTATTATTATTATTATTATTATTATTATTATTATTATTATTATTATTATTATTATTATTATTATTATTATTATTATTATTATTACTATTATTAATGCAAGCAGTGCGCTATAAAATGCGTTGAGCGCACTTGCGCTTAGCAGCTTATGTGCGCTAAGCAGGCTCTTCTGGACAAAACTAATCTTTTATTCTGAAAACGTGCATCCAGAGCCGTGCCTTCGACACTTTATTCCTTAATGCTCCAACCTACAAAATGAATGGAAAAACATCAAACGATACACTATATACACAAAAACACAATAAACATAAACTAAACGTATTTACATTAAAGTTGGGTATATTCAACGATATTAACGACAAAAAGTCGATAAGTTCAACAAAAAGTATATATAAAATAACTATAATTTGCACTATCAACTTAACAAAAGGCTCGGGGGACTGACTCAGATTGATGACGTTGAAGGACTGTTTGGATCAGTTTTCACCGATTAGAGAGAAGATGGATTTGATCAGCAGGGAACCAAACAGAACATAAGGTTTTCTGTCAAAAGTTATTATGGATTGATTTCTGACCAGAACCTTACGTCTGTTTACGGTGCTGATAGAGAAAGGACGACAGTTTTAATATGGAAAAATTCGATTCCCTTTAGGATTAAAGCATTTGGGTGGAGATGTTTGATAAACTGGATGCCAACGAAGAATCTCCTTTTTATCAGATGTTTGTTTTCCTCTCAGACAAAATTGTTATGCGATTTTTGCACGGACATGGAGGAGAATTTGAATCATATTATGCTCTAGTTGTTTGGAAATCGATTTCGGTTTGGTTAGGAATGGAGTTAGGGAAAGAGGAAAATGTTTGGAGGAGTTTTCTTAATGCCTTTGATAGTTTTAATTCCAAGAAAGTAAAAAAGGGGTTTGAAGGTGTTATTTAGCTTTTCGTTTGTATGAGCATTTGGTTGAAAAGAAATGTGTTGGTGTTCAAGGATGATCATTGGTGTATCTCGGATCTTGTTTGGAATATCAAGGTTTTAG